AGAAATCAAATTACAGCTTTAATCCCTTCATTTGACGAATTTCACATACTGGGTGCAATATATCCCCTGACAACAACTTTGTTCGGAATTGAAAAATATTCAAAAGTTACTGGAACATGGCCATTTTCCTTTTATTCTAGAACAGTCCTCATAACTATCGTGAAGTGTATAAAAACCTAATAGCGCACAATTAATAATAAATAATAATAATATCAAGACTTGATTAACTGTCAAAACTAGCGCTTCATGTTCAACACATTGTTAGTTGCTTATTTCACCTTTTCTGTCCTCTTTTACCGAAAAGTGTACTCATGTTTCAGTTTCCCTATCCATTTTTCCTGTCTGATGTGAATATGCTTCCAAGGTATTTGAATTCTTGTACTTGTTTCAGTTGTATGTTGTTGACACGGGCTCGAAGTTTCCATTATTTCTGTCATAGTTGTGCTCATTTTCAGTTCCTACTCCTCACATGCTTTGTTCAATTTAGTGGTATGTTCTCGGAGGCTGTCCTGGTCTTGGTGTAAGGAGGCTCGAACTGCCAGCAAAGAGAAGTTAATTAAGTTGTTCTGGGTTGTCATTTGCTTCTTGTGTTATTTATTTTGTTCATGCACACTGCCAACTTTGACAAAAACAAAAACAAATCAATTTGACTGTTTAGGATACTTTAACTAAGGGAAAGCAAACACACTGAAAGTCATGCATATTAGAAAAAAATCTGGGGGGAGAGTGAAGAAAAGACCCAAAAACAGTGAAAATAGACCTATTGTTTGTGAAAAGACAAATAATAAGAATCTACTTTTGTACTAAACAACACTTAAATTTTAAATATTTTGTAATTTTCCTAGCATCAAAGCATGGTTGAGAATTTTTTAGAACAGCCTTAAAACGGATTACATAAACAACAAAACTAAACCATTATATGAATTGTGAGACAGCGTGGTGGAATCAGGCTCTCGTCAAAACAATCAAAGTGAAGAAACTTGCATTTTTCCGCAGGTTTGTGAATTTTTATCAAATCTTTGTTTTTTGACTCGACACCTTTCATGCCCATTAAGGAACTATTTCTGTGTGGATTTTTTCTGAAAAACGTTGATTAAAAGCACAAAAAATGTACATTTGCTGTTAACATGGACTCTTAAGCTAAGGAAATATCTAATCTTTGGCAGCAATTTTCTCACTAATTTTACCTCTGAAAACAGGTGACCCCACCCCCTTCATTCACAAATATCTCGACCTGTATTCAAGACAAATGGATATTTTTAAAATCTAAATAAAGACAAGTGAACAAGCTTGAAGATGATGCCAATAACTCTACATGCCCAAAAATTGACGAGAGCCTGATTCCACCACGCTGCCTCACAATTATTAGATGGCACATTCTCAATTTTGAGTGTCGCACAAAAAGACATGAAAAACCATCAACTTTAAAATGATTGCTCTGGAAGAGAGCAGTGCATCCCAGAATGATCTAGCACATCAATACTCATGAAAAATGTTTCAGTTTTTTAGGATTTATCCATTTATTTACCAGTATAATCAAAGGCAAACAATCATTTTCTTGTTGATGCTCATGAACCTGTAGCCCTTTGAAAACATGATTTCTCTATAAGACACCATTATGTGAGGCAGCATGGTGGAATCAGGCTCTCGTCAATTTTTGGGCATGTAGAGTTATTGGTATAATCTCAAAGGTTGTTCACTTGCGTTTATTCAGACGAAAAAAATACCCATTTATCTTGAACACAAGTTGAGATATTTGCGAAAGAAAGAGGTGGGGTCACCTATTTTCAGAGGTAAAATTAGTGAGAAAATGGCTGCCAAAGATTAGTTATTTCCTTAGCTTGAGAGTCCGTGGTAACTGAAAATTTATATTTTTTGTGCCTTTAATCAACATTTTTCATAAAAATTCACACAGAAATGAGTTCTTTAATGGGCATGAAAAGTATTGAGCTAAAAACCAAAAATTTGATAAAAATTCACAAACCTGCGAAAAAATTCAAGTTTCTTCACTTTGATTATTTTGACGAGAGCCTGATTCCACCACACTGCCTCACATATGAGTTCTTGACACACATTTCAAGTATTTCAATTGTGCCAACTCCCATAACAATAAGAAGCAAGCACAATGAGCATATTGAGTGCATATATTACAATACATAAGCTGGGGCTTCACTTGTCCACGCCACTCCTGTCTCCCAAATCCAACAAACATTTGCAGAACACTGAAAGTGGAACTAGATTCAGCACGTCCACACAAACACAAAATTTAAAACACAACTTTTGATTGACAAACTCACATCTTCCAGCTGCTGTTATCCAAAGAACCAAACACTGCAGCATGCACCAGGAATTCATCCATGTCAATCCAGAAATTTTCAATCTGCTTCACTTGCAGCTGGAGTGCTTGCCAAAATAACGTCCATTCTCATCTCCAGATGTGATGCATGTTTTATTATCATTGGTTATTATATATATGCAATTGTCAGTTTTGCTGCTATAATTAATCCTGCAGTCTTTGACCACCTACCCCACAACCCACAGCCATGTTGAAGAGGGTGGAGGTTCTTATGAGTAGTTCTTTGTTACTTTTCACATTTCGAAATACTTTATGGAAGTTCAGGTTCATGATTCAAGCCCTTTCAACAATCCTTCACAAATCAAAATGAGGACAAGAAAGGAAATGAATATGGAACAAATTTGCTACATCAATTAGAGTGTCATTTTGAAGAATCAAGTTCCATGGATAGTGAGGTAATTTTACATACAGAATGGGAGTTGCAATTCCATGGAAAGAAAACACATGTACTTCAAAAGAGCTTTTTGGGGAAATTGAATATTACAGAAGGTATATTATGCAGATCTGCTTGATTGAAAATGCTTCCATTTTAGCTTTGGTAACAGTTTTAACATCAAGGGGAAGACCTCGTGGAACCTGGAGAAGAGTCACGGAAATGGATGTACAGAAAAGTGGGAAGACGTTGAGTGACATCCAGCGACTAGCCCAGGATAGGGAAAGGTGGAGAGTGTTTGTTCGTGGCCTATATCCTGCCCCAGGGTGAGAAAGGCAATGATGAACAGTTTTAACAGCACTTACGACTGCATAAGGTCATATAAGCATGCTTGAATGCTTCACCCTCTCATTGACACAATACACATTAAATAGGGAGGTCCAAAGCCCTCAAGATTAGGAACTCTGTCCCAAAAGAAAAGGAAATCTTCAGCTTCTGACACAATTGTTCAATGTTGTCCCCTGTGTGTGTGTGTGTGTGTGTGTGTGTGTGTGTGTGTGTGTGTGTGTGTGTTTGTGTGTGTGTGTGTGTGTTGTGTGTATGTGTGCGCGGGTGGGTGCGAGTGTAAGTAGGTGGGTGGGTGGGTGTTGTTAAATGGTTTCACAATGTTCATTGATTTGTCAGTTGCACTGAATGATGATTTTGAACTGTGCAGCCCTTAGACTTAGAGCCTTCTCCAAATAATAACAATTCCTATAATTTAAAAAAAAGTTTAATATTATCAGTATTACTACTATCATTACCATGCTGTTTTCATATGTACGTTTCCCAACACGTATCCAGTACCAACTCGGTATACCTTGACCTTAAGCTATTTCACTTCAGAGATAGGCATGTGTGTATGATACTAAACACAAGGATTAAAAAAAAATATATACAAAAATATATACCTACATGACATGCTTAGCTGCAAAAATTAAATTTCTCTTTCCTTAATTTTATTTCAACCAAACCAGCAGAAGAACCAGCCATGATGAAACTAGTAAAGAAAAGATAGAAAAAAAAGTTTAATGGTAACAGAACAAGCAGGCAGATATTTTTTAAAGTCATACACGGCTTACTGTTTTACTAATATCGATATTACATTTTGTTCAAATAAATCCCTTCATGCGCAGTAGGCTATATCTGTTACCCCAGGTGGACATAATGAGAGAAAAAAAGGGAAAAGATCAATGCGAGAACAGGCAGTAAAAATAGACTGAATCATTGGTTGGGTTTAGATTTAGACTCCAGGCTAACTTTTCATTTCTTCATCCATCATGAAACATATTCGTCCTCCCATCTTCAAAGTGCCTCAGTCAGTAAAGTGAAGAAAGGGGAATTTTGGTGCAGGTCGAATGTAATACTGTATTAAGACATGACCAAATCTTTTTGAAGATAGAGCTAACGGTACAGAGGGATACAGAAGAAGGAACAAAGGAAATAAAACAGACAAAACACACCAAGCTAAGTGCCCCAGACTGCCAATTTAAAAACATAAATATCTTTGCTCCAATTCTAATTAAAAGAAAGCGGATTCATCATAGATATTATTTGCTGCTGTACAAGTGATAGTGTAGGCAAACAGCAAGTTGTTACACATCACAAAATCATTAAACTGACAAGAGAACAACACTTCAAGAGAAGGAAACTCAAACAACTTCACAAAGAAATTGCTTCTTCATTTATTCACCCAAACTACAAAAATGCATGTCAAGAACGAAAATTGGTGCTTTCAAACTAAGCCTTATCATTTGGTGCAGCTTCAAATTAAAAAAAGAAAAAAGGTTAATAGCAAAAGCTCAAGACAGCGCCTGTTTAAATATAATCAACAGCCTTCCACGGGCCAGCAATTTCACATTGATTTCTTTAACTGTAAGAGACAATGGCAGAAGCCCAGGCACAGAGAGACAGACTAATCCAGCAGAGAATGAAGCATGGGGGAAAAAATCAATATTGTGGTTGTCAACAAGAGAAAAATTTTAACCAAGCTCATACTTGTGTCCCAATGCAGATCTGGCCAAACTCTTTTCTACCATGTCTGGAATAATTTTAACCCTATCCGTACGCCCTGGGGGTCATTTTGTACCCCTGGGGTCGTATCTTTCATATTTTAGAACACTTCTAAGTACGAAGATCTCTTTGAAACTTTCAGTATTTCTCAAAAAATCATTTTGACAGACTGCTATGCAAAGCGTACGGATCAGATTAACCAGTAATTTCCTCTTCGGAAAGTGGAGGCACAGAGTTCCCCACATTGAATGGATACAGTAGTAAAACACGACGTACAGATTGGGTTAATCATTAATAGAATGACTTTACAAGTTTCCCCCCATTAAAAAAAATAATCAAAGAGACTGATAGACAAACTGCTCTATGCAGGAATCAAATTCAAAACTTGTGTATGCAACTGTGAAGAGCCTTTCCATTAAATCACAGACCACGGTACTGCTACAATAATCTTTAAAGAACTGGGTGCCACCAACTCATAAATTAATGACAATGACAATGACAATTTCTGGACTGACACGGCCAAACAGCAAAATCCTTAGCCACCTGTCAGGAGAAAAGGCTCCGATAAAAAAAATTCCAAGAAAGACTAAAAGAATGTATTTCCTACTCAGAATCGAACCCCACACAATTTTCCATTTTGGTCCACCTTGGATCTTGCAGCTCAAACAGAATGACGTATACCGTAGTGAAGGACAAAATGTGTTCACTGAAGTGTTGGTGCATGACTAGGATGGAAATGAAATTAATCACCATTGAAAACTGAAACATTAATATGGAAACTTAAAATCAGTTAGGGAGTAATTGAGTAAAAATGGCGGAATCCCCATTCATTCTCTCTGTAAAAATGAGTCAATGACAAAGGCACAGATAACATTAACATTTTTAAAATTGCAAATATTTTGCAGCTCGCAATATACCTGTTCAGGTATGAATTTACAGGCTTTTTTTTTCAGAACCCCCTCCCTTCCCTAAGTACTCCAAGTAATTTGAACAGCAAATGGCAAAACCAGACATTTAAAAAAGAGCAATGCTTGGAGCAAAGCAAACTGGAAATGCACAGCAATATCAAAAACTTTATTTCACTAGAAAGCATCTGAACTTTCATTGGATAAAACAAATAAACAAAAGGTTTCGAAAAAGCAGAAAGCATTCTCAATCATAAAGCTTCAAGGTAAGGCTGTCATCTACAGTGTAGCCATTACAAATTACAATCATATCTTGCAAGGAACACATGTGGTTAATAATAAGACTGAAAATAAAAAAAGACCAGACGAGGCCAGAGTGCTAACCAAAAAAACACTGACGGTATATAACTAAAGTCATGACTACAGACAGTTGTTTTTTTTATCAGAAAGCTGTACAATGGGAGTTGAAGGAGAGAGCATTGAGCATGCTGACATTTTCTGGTTCACTGACATCATTAGCATGCCCACACCTCTTATCTCCACATATTTTGTACAATGAGCAGTAGATTTCAATATGAAAACGATAACGATGTTTTGTCTAAGTGCAAAAAGTCTTTGAAAAAGAATGCTCACACCAAAAAAATGTGACCCTTCAAAGCATACAACGAACATATTTGTGACCTCCATCCCACTTGTTTTTCTTCATCACAGAGGCTTTTTCAAACAATATTTTATGCCATGTTTTCAGGACACTTTGCATAGACAAAAGTAGAATTATAACAGTTATTGATTCTTTTAAACATACCTTGATAACAAGAGATCTTCATTGGCCATATCTAAACATGTCTGTTCCTAACGTGACTATGCAGCCTTCATTTGAGGATTAAATACACCGTAACATGAAGGGGATCAGCAATTTACAACATCCTGCTGCACCACAAAATACACTTATAACTTAGGAATCTTCTGACCAAGTTATTATCATTTTATGGCGATAAAACTTCAGTGGCTTTTGTGCACTTATGTCAGATACCAGTCGTAAATTCAAGCAGTCAGTGATATTATCTAGCCAAAGAAAAAACACCATTTCAAGAAAGGATCCAGGCATTGTACAGGCAGTTGCACTCCTTGGCAATCTTAATTAATACTAAAACTAACTTTGACACTTCTGTAAAACAAGGCATAGACCTTTATAAATCAATCCACCGACGCATGTAATAGTCTAAAAATAAGTGTGTCTTATGACATTGCTTAGGCTTTCTTTTTAATAATCCTTATTTTTAAATGCAAAAACATTCCGTTCTCTTTCCCTAATCATCGTAAGCTCTTGCTACCTGTTAGTGAAGTATATATCATAAACACAGATTCACACCCATAACCATTTCACAGAATATATCAATCGTTTTTATCATAACACCCATTTTGCAAGTCAATGAATCAATCAAATTGGCAATTTTTCAGATTCACTGCCTTTAAAACACATAGACAATATGATATATCATAAATATATAAGAATTTCATTTTAAAGCATATCAAATTTTACAATACATTTAACAACTTTCTTCAAAAGTACAGTACATTCATTGGAAAATGTTCAACAGCTGATTGTCTATACGACCAAGAACGACATAACAAGAAAGTACCAGCAGCAAGAAAAAAAAAAATTGCCCAACATTTGCAATTAGGTTAAGGCTTGATTGTCAAACATAAAGATTTCTCATTCTTCAGTACACTGTAATATTTAGGGGATCAGCAACTCACATCCTGAGGCACCACAGAAATACACAAACAACATTTCAGACTATAGTACATCATATTCAGTATCTGAACAAATTTCAATACAAACGACGGGCTCTTTCATATTCAGAGATTCTTGGGGCCAGCAAGCCCTATCATTACTAGACTGGGTCATGCCTTCACAGAGCTTATCAAAAGACTGAACAATTTTGGACACATTCTTTTTGTTATTTGAAAGAAAGACATCTTCACCTGCGTTCTTCGCAATTGTTGACTGAATGGAAGATAATGCTTCTTGAGATGGCCCTTGCCAGGTATGCAGCAATTCGCCCGACGTTGTGCCGCTTTCACTAGAAAAGGTCACATGTTGATTTTCCCGCACAATTTCATTTTTCAATAAGGCTATCTGAGCATTCAATTCTTCCATAATGACATCCAGAACATTTTCATCATTGTCTTCTTTTGCATCATCCTGAAGTGCCCCGAGTAATCCAAGCCTTTGTGAATTGAGCTCCACACCTTGTAGACTAGGGAAATCTAAAACCGCCATGTTAGGTACGCTACAGGACAGAGAGACTGGAAAGGGTGAACGCGTGTGGGGCGTAGACTCTGAGTAAGAGGACGTAGCAGTACATTTTGATAACTCAACTACAGGCTCTTTACTGGGACAAGTCGTGACTAAAGGACTGTTACTTGTACTCGAGCTTGAACTAAAGGTGGCAGATGATGATGACAAATCCTCCGGTTGACTGGTGTCGTTCAAAGACAAACAAGTATTTGCACACGACTCCACAGCACTTTTATTATCCTGAAATTTTTGCTTCTTACGGACCTTTTGATTAACATTGTCCTTTTTTCTTCTCTCAACATTTTTCTTGCCTCTTGAGGAGAAACTCTTAGGAGGCTGCGGTTGGAAGTTGCCTTGAGAGACAGTACAGGCAGATTTTCCTATACTGACATCTGGGTTTAGCTGAGGATATTCAGAATGAGAAAAAGAACTAGCAAACGTCTCTGGGGGAGATGGAACAAAAAACTCTGGGCTTGACCGTACATCAGATAATGGAGAGAAAGACGCCCACACATCAGAGCCTGAACCAATCCCATCACTCACTGATACTGCATTTTCTGGTATTACAAAACTTTTACTTGCTTGCAACAGCTTATTACAATTCCTGTTGTTGAAGTTCTGTAAAAAATCATAACTGGCACCAGGTGAATCCCACTGTGGTTGGTATGAAACAGATCCATCAGAGTTCCTTAATCTCATAGATGATTCTCCAGGATCACGTCTTTGGGCAATGCTTTGATTGACAAAAATATCCTGAGGGACGGGCCTGCTGTCTTGAGATTGAGAAATGCTTGGCAACTGAGAAGCCACAGGCAGGAAGCAACTAGGCTGGACTCCATTAACTCCTCCAGACGAGTCTATTTCTGGACCTGTCCAGCATAAAGGAAAACTTGATTTTGCATTCTCAGTTATTGGACAAAATGGTCGTGGAGCAGTTACTTTCAGATAGCTCCTGCTTTGACTGCAGTTCGCCTGAACACAACAGCTTGTCATTTGCGAGGCTGAAAATTCCTGTTGACAAGTCTGAAAAGAGCCAGGCATGGTTGTGAGTTCCCGAGCGGCAGATGCAAGGGTCTCATCTTGAACAAACACTGATGAAGATGAACGAGGGGCAATAGGGTCATTGTTTCGGAGATAAATGCTTTCCTTGAGACTACACAAACTGTCTGATCTAGATTGAGATGTCAAGAGTTTCCCTTGACTATTTTCAGTCCGTTGAAGGGTAGCACTAGACACGGCCGTACTTTGCTTATCTGTATTGTGTGCACTGAGGCTAACGGATTCATGAGTGGACTGAGAACTTTGAAGATTGGATATCTTATCCCTTAAGATTCTCCGAGATCCAGACTTTTCCACTTTGGTGTTTTGATGCCACTCACTGCCAGGATCTCCAAAGCACCGAGGGGGTTTGCTCCCCTTTGAGGAAAGGGCACAACAAGGCACATTTTTTTTACTGGTAGAGGTAATCTGTTTTTTATCTAGAATCTCACAACTCTGCAAATGGCCATCAATCAATGCAAAGCCCTGCCCTGTGTTAAGACTACCGTAACTGTGAAGCAAGATCTCTTGGTTTTCTCGTCTGCCAGCAGGGGCAGGGTTTGGAATATTAAACCTCCTTGACTGGCTTTTGAACACTCTTGGCACCGGAGCTTGCTGCCTCTTATCACTAGCTTGCGAGCAGTTGAAGGGACGGTTCTTGCGAGAATCATCTAAGCTTCGAGAGTTAGAAAATATCTGTCTTTTCTTGTGAGCTGCAGAGAATTTTTCCCCAGTGAGAGCTGTTGTCTTACTCGACACTACGACAGAAGTGGAAGAACAAGAGGTTGAAGCTATTGCAACCATGTCTTCTCCGGGAGGGCAGAAATTTTGCCTTGTCCCATGTCCTGATAATAAATCGCTTCTTCCGACAGCTAGTGATCCTTCACAGTTCTGGAAAATTCTCTTCACGGTCATGTCAGAAGGTTCTTCTAAGTCTGCAGCAGGCCTGGTGTTAGGACAATCTGGGCTAATAGGATAAGAACTAAGAGCACCATTTCTTTTACGAAAGAACTGACAACCTTCATCCTTGAAACCTGAGGCCTTTTTCCCCTTTTCACCTTCGCTACGTCTGCCTTGATAACAATTTATTTGTTTCCTGGCATTATCATTCATTGTACTAAAAGTTTGCTCATTCAGTTTTCTACTGCCGGTTTCTACCGTCCTCTGCTTCGTTGCCAAATCAAGGCCCACAGCAAGGCCAGCATTTACTATGTGTGGCTGCGTTAATTCAAAAAGCTCCATGTGCTCTAAACTGCTATTACTCCCGGTAGAGCTGCTGCTGCTGCTGCTTCGACTACTGCCACTGCTTCCACTGCTGGAGATGAAACTCCTTCCACTGAGAGACAAGTCAATGACAAAGTCGCTAGAACTCTGCAGCTGGGCATGGAATACATCATCCTTGCCATTGCTACAGCTGATGGCAACATTCAGCTCCTCCATTTTGTCATCCAAAATAATGACTTCTTCCATGACTTTACAAGATTCATCAAGTTGCTCATTTACACTGCTGGAATTATTTTTGTTGCTTGAATTCAAACTGCAGTCCGATAACCTTTTCATGCTGAAGTCCAGAGGGGAATCTTTGCAGAGAGATGAATCAGCCTCTGAACTGTCAGTCTGGCAGGAAAGATCAGTCTGAACCTGACTATCCTTACTTTTACACGAGAGTTGAGAACTACCAGAGCTTTGAGATCCCTTTTCTGAGCTCTTGACTGAATCTTCACTAACAGGGGATGTTTCCACACCCGAACATCTAATATTCTCCGCTTGGGTTGCCTTATTAAGCTGTTGAGTGGTTATGTCAGAAATAGAACAGCTTTCAACAGAACAATTGCTTACTCTTTTCCCATCAAAACTTCCTGTGGGGTCAGTCTGATTAGCTTGATCCCTTTTGACACAAATGTTGTTTCTTTCATCAAGCAATTTTGAAGAGCAGTTATCCTCCACATTGTTGTCTTCAATATCATCCAACTCGATAATAACTTTAGTCTCTTCTCTACAACTATTAGTACTTACATTGGACTGATTCAAGTCATTATCAGTCTGGACAGATACATGTTTCGGGCTTGATGATTTGATTACATCAGTTTGTAAAGGATGAACTGTATCAAGACAGCTGTGTAGAGAGGGGGGAACAGCAGCAAAGCTTTCCACTTTTACGTCTGCCTGTCCCTGTGTTTGCTCGTCAGAACAAGGGGGCTCCACATGGTTAGAGAGTACACAGCCACATTCACAAACTTTACGTGTTTTTGGAGTGTTGGCTTTCCCAACCTGTCCACGTGAGTTAGAATTCAAAACCAGATCTTCCATTCCCTCTTTAACATTCTGCTGCTTCTGTTCATCATCTTCACAGTCTCTATTTACAGTCTGCGTTCCCTTCTCATCACCTGCACGGTCTCCACAGCCCCCAGATCCGATACCAGACTGATCAGTCGCTTCTGATGATAAGAATACTGTCCTTGGTGCGAAGTCCTTATCCTTTGCCATGTTCACTTGATTTTCTGATTTTTTTAAAACTTGGTTTCCATCTGGTGAACTGTCACCACTGGGATAACTAGTGCTGGTTTTAACAACAGTACACGGGCAAGTAGAATATGTTGATGACTGTTGGGCATTTTGCGATTCTCTTGAATGCTGTATCAGAAACTCACAACCACGCTCTTTACAGACTTCAACACTGACACTAGGCACCTCTCCTTGTTCACAGGGTACCACAGACTTTTGGGAAATAGCTGAAGTCTTCCAAATTGTCTCACCAGTTCCATTTTCATCTTTTGTTAACTGCGCATCGTCACCGTTGTTCACAGCAACACATGTCCCATCAGGGCAAGCTTTTGTCTCTTGAAAGCTGAAATCAAAGAAATTCTGTTTATCATCTTTCAGCTCATCTTCCTCTTTTCCAGGACTTTCTTTTGACAAATCCTTCTCTTCAGCTTTATGCGCAGTATCAGCTTCGCCACTGAGGCTGTCATCTTTATCTACAGTTGATGTGCTGTCATCTTCAAACCCAGGTCCAATACCTCCATTTTCCCTGGTGACCTGCAAACTACTCTCAATGGTCTCCTTACGGTTGAACTTAGCAAAGGCAGAGATAACCCTGTCTCGCAGAACAATGCTGTCTGCTAACTTTGTCGACTTCTTCAACACTTTACGGCTCTTTTGCCACAGATGCTTGGACTTTTTGTGAACATCTTTATCAGAAAAGGGAAGCTGTGTCATATCTTGATTTTTCACGAGAAAACAATTATTGTCTAAAACAGTTCTCTCTTCTCTTTGAGAACTCAGGTTTTCAGTACCTATGTTGAAGCTCCTGTTCTCTTTAGGCGCAGAGTTTTCGCCAAACTGCGGGGTGTGGGTTTCTTCACTTATAGTGTTTGGTGACAAAGTTTTCCTTCTCAATACACCCGACATCTCTGTGCCATGATCCCCAAGACCGAAGCCATCCTCCTTGCATTCTATATATTTATCATTATCATCAAGAGCGCTCGATACAGAGTACGCGACACCATCAGCCTTTAACATCTTCACAAACTCACCCTGAAAATCTTTAGCTTTGTAGTTCTCACTCCTCTTGCCCTTAAATTTCTGTACAGTGTGAGTCACTTCTCCCATTCTGCGGACAATCCGGATTTTCAGCTTAGGTACTTCCTTCACCAAACAGTATCTCTTCTCTCTTTTCCTCTTTCTTTCTAATTCCTCTTTTTTCTTTTTCCTTCTATGTCTGTGATGAGTATCCTCTCTTCTCTTATTTTTTCGTCTTCCAACGTTCTTTAAACTCTGGTCTTCTATTAATTCACCTGCACTTTCCACATTTTCAGCATTTGTTACAGGGAATAAATCCATGCCTCTATCATCAAAAGCAATACGTTGAACATGATCAACCTTTGCTTCAATATCTACATCAACAAGATCCAGTTCTCTATCACCCAACCCCTCATTACCAAAGCTATCAAAACCTACCTCACAGTCCTCGTTCCCTTCATCAATCACACTTGTGTCATTGTTACTAATACAGTACTCACTGCCCAGTATATTTTCAATCTCTGTAGCAGATGGCAAAGGGTATTCTCTATCTAGCAATGAACTCAGAGCGTCGATCAACTCGGCAGGTTTGTTCACACTGTTGGAGGGACAACTTTCATGAACATAACTAGATTGTGGTCTGCGGCATGCACAAAGGCAATATTGACAAGAGGAACAAGAGACACGACGGACAGAGTTATCATATGACGCACAGCCCCGCAACATCGGGTCATTATGGAAGCAGTCATGCACTAAACTACTCCGGCAGTCACAACGGTTTTCATGCAACAAAAAAGATGAGTTAGTATTCACACCACCTGAGTAAGTCTTCCCACATGCATGCAAAGAGCACAAGGAGTTAGGAGAATGAAAGTCTTGGCAAGAAGATTTAGAGTGGTTACAGTTAGTTGCTCTAGAAGCATTACAATGATGCTTGTGGCTAGGGGGGCAGTGAGTCAGAGGGTGACTGAATGTGAATGAAGAGAGGGAGTCGCTATCCAGACACGCAGTGTGGGGTGTTCTTGAGACTGCATGGCCACAGTTGCTTTCTGATGCAGACAAGGAACCTGTTGTATGGGCACAAGGCTTGGAAGTGCAGTAGTTGTGATGCTCATTGAGTGGTGGATCTTCTCTCACAGCTTCAACAAAGTACTTCTCAGCATCTGTTATGTTTTCTCGATGAGCAAATCTTGTGGAGGGTTCAGGCAAAGCACAAATTGAAGACGCGAGAGATGTTGAGACTGACGGAAAAGTATGGTCGATTGATGACACAGCCGATGGCGTCAAGTCACAGGAAGTAAGGTCTATTTGTGGCTCGGGGGATGAGGATGATGACGATGAAGGAGGAGGGGAAGGAGAATGGGTCAGGGAGGGTGAGGAAGAGGACAAGCAGCCCTGTGGAGCTAACCTACAGCGCTTGCTCACACCTAAGCCGGGTGGGGAAGCAGGCAGAAGTGAGTGGTGAGAAGCAGTTACCTTGTTGGGGCTTCTGCCAGACAGCGCTGAAGACGTTCGCTTCCTGTGGATGCTGCTGTGCACAGCGGAAGGGCCTCTAGACGACGACGAAGACGATGTCGAGGAGGAGGAGATGCCCCTTGCAGAAAGGTCCAAGGACGAGGAGGAGGATGAGGTCCCCAGCTTGGAGGAAGGACAACACACCAGCGGTGAGAATTTGCCCACAGAGCCAAAGTAAGAGGAGGATCTGGCCGAGCGAGCAGAGGACATCAAGGACGGTGGAGTGAACTCCCCTGGGAGCACACCACTGGCCTTGGAAGGTGACGGAGATTTCTCTGGGGTGAAGTAGAACTTGTTACGATATCTAGAAGGTGGGGTGTTAGTAAGCCCTGACACCGGGTGCAGACGAGAAGGGGAGGATGAGACGGAGATGGGAAAACGTGCCAAGGAGGGGGAAGAGGAGGAGGAGGAAGAGGTGGATACCTTGCGCTGCAGGCCCTGGCGCAGACTCACGATGCCACGGGCCGTCTCTGGGGTCCCAGCGCTGGCCCGTGCCGCAGAGTGTTTCGCCAACAGACTACTGGTCCTGCCAGCCTGAAAGCACAATTGTTCCTCTATAAATTTGGTATCACAGCATGGCTCGACTATACAAGGGACATAAATATGAAATGAACATGTTCTCAAAAAGAAAGAAAGAAACAAACAAAGAAGTCTAACAAGTACTCTCATAGAGGACATTAATAGCGAAGTCAAAACAAATGAATACAGATAAAAGCTAGACTAAAAAAGATGAAAGTGCCAAAAATACAAAACTATCAATTACTAGTCCACCCCCTGCCCTCAGCTTTGAGCTAAGTATTTGTTTCTTTGCTTGAGTAAAGAGAACCACATCAACATAGCAATTGTCATTATGTCTAGGGAAAAAGTAACACAGACAATATGATCTACAGAGGAAAAGAAAAGGAGAACAATCCACCAAAAGAACCTCCAACAATCTCATCAATTTTTTTGCCCTTTTACTTTGATAAGTCACAACAATTTTTTAAAAATGTAATTATGTGAAGCTTGAATGCCTGTGTGCACCCACAACACTTTTTTCTTCTTCAGAAAAGACTACTATGAGTTATGCTTATACTGAAGTATTTTTGTTGTTCTCCGAACTAGTGATACTTAACCTGGTTTGATCTCATCACACACACACACACACACACACACACACACACACTGTGTGTGTCCATTCTGTTCACCCTATTAGAAGAGTTTGGTGAATGCACTAACGAAACGAGGGGTGCAGTACCTCCAATAAGGTGAAGAACCATTCATCCAATAAAAATATTAGCATTTGTATAGCACAAATTTCTGCTCATTAGCAAGCTCCATGCGCTTTATAATCTTATTATTGTTACCTGAGCAAATCTGATAGTATTCTGAAACAATCTCAACTTCCTGGGAAGTGTGCCGAGCAAGCTGCCATTTTACAGGTGATAAAACACTAATAAGATCTCTCCCTGTCTATGGCCGTGTACTCATTTACACCCGGGAGAAGTGAAGAAAATTCTAGTAAAGTGCCTTTCCCAAGGTAACAAAACCAGGACTGAGCCTCAAACCTCTGAACCTACAACCTCACCATTATGAGTCCATTTGTCTAACCGCTAGACTACTGATGCCACTCCCACTCCCAGTGTAAGTAGAGAGACCCTTGAACATCATCCACTGATTCAAAATTGTCACAGAGCAGATGAAGATTTCTATAGAATTCACTTGTATTAATTTACTTTCTCAGCTTGGTATTTGAATTTTACAAGAAAAATCAGTAAAAATTACGGCAGCCTACAAACACAACCACACAGTTCAATATTTGTTGTCCAGTATTGGACCTTCTGCTGAAGGCGCGATTTCTATTCCAACATGGGAAGAATTTTTATAGAGTGTCTCCATCTTTTTGCTAGGATGTTGTATCCTTCTCAGTCCTGGTAGGCCTGAACAGTGGCCACCCCCTAAATGATATAAATAGTGTCGATGGGGGCATTAAACTTCTACAACTCAGTTCGCCTCCTTGGCAGTAACAGCAGAGATGGTGTCTAACTCTTTTATTTAGCATCAAAAAGGGGTATAGTAAAACATTATCTTAAGACTAAAGAACAAAGACTTCGAAGAAATAGAGACAAGGAAATAGAAATACAAACAAAAATTCGCACCATCGTTTGCGAGAATACGACCAAAGCTTAAGTTGTTACTACAACGGCAGCTGTTGCTAGATATACAGAAAGTCACTGGCACTTTCATCAATTCTATCACTGCTACTACAACTGCAAATACTAAAGCTATTACTACTATAATTACCATTCCACTTCTTCCACAGCTACAGTTTTCACTTTAGCATCACTGCTTTTACTACCTACATTACTCATTTCATGCTCCTGTTTATACTTTATGTCCTTTGGTAAGAGTTTTACAGCACTTGCAACACAATTAGGTCATAAAAATGCGAAAGATTAGAGGTGTTACAAGAGAGTAACAAACACAAAAAAGGAGGAGAGACAAGGACGAGAGATGTTTGATAGGAAAGAATAAGCAAATCACATCAGAGCACAGGCAAACCAACTACCTTTCAGTTGAATAACTACTTCTGCTACCACAAGTAAAGACTTTACCACTGCAGCAAGAGCTCACGAACCACGTGCTTTCTTATTCCAACTTCTTATTTCCAGTTGTTATGTAAATCACTTTGAAATTACTGAATTCCAGTAACGAATACGGAGAGTTCAAACAAAATTAAACTGAAATTCTGCAAAAAATGGGCATTAACCATAATGATTTTGGGAACAAATTGAATACTTTATTTTTTTACAAGAGAGAGACTGACAGAGACAGACAGACACACACACACACAGATAGACAGACAGATAAACAAACAGAGAATTAAGAGTAATCAAAAACTAAAGGACAAAAAACTAATCTCTGAAACAAAATATAAAAACACAAAGAAATCCAACTAGACATGTAAAAAATACAACAAAAAGAACATATATGAACAAAACTCAGATATTGTAGTAAGAACAAGCTAGCACTCAGCTCGTAAGCCGTTACCACAACTGTGTCACTGTCAACAACAGCTACTCTTATGATTACAAAAAAAGACGGATGCTTTTACTGCTGTTACAGTCGCTTATGAAATAAATATATTCTCAAATCAAGTGATTGAAGGGTGAAATTTTCCTGGAGCCGAAATAGAATAGTTAAATACCCTTGACTAAGTATACTTTTAACACGTGTTAACAAATCTATGGATGAAAGACATTTCCAAATCCAACATTGAGGCTTGCATGATCTATGATTTGAACCAAAAGAACTAACAACTGTTGAATCCATAAAATAAACACAAGCAAGCTTGTATATGATCATTAGTCATTCCCTTTCAAAGTAATCTTGAAACTATTTGGTATGTAAGATTGTCTGCAGTGTAAGCTAAACAATAACAATAGTTTTCACTTCTCAGTAAACTCGATCTTGATGGATGTAAAGATTTTATCAAACAACAGGCTATCAAAAAAAAAACCACACAAACAGAATCTTTCGCTGATTCAATAAAGAATAAGGCCCTAAGCAAACTACTGAGGAAACCAGTAGATAATTTTTAAATTTGTTTTTAAAAGCCTCTTATATGTAAGAATACATGATGTTTAAAAAGCTATTTCTGTTGTAATGCATACTGATTATAAGTTCCAAGATTGTATTGAGCCTTAAAGCAAAAGATAACAGAGAGAGACAAAGAGAGAGAGACAGAGAGAGACAAAGACTGACACATAAAGCATGGAGCGAGAGAAAGAGAGAGGGAGAGAGAGAGAGAGAGAGAGAGAGAGAGAGAGAGAGAGAGAGAGAGAGAG